GGTGCTGCAACACCAGGCTCCGAACCCCGTTGCGGAAGCCTTCGGGCCACGCGCCTCCAACGCAGCTCGTCTGGCAACGAAAGAACACGCCCCCCACTGCCATGGAGAGCTTGCCTCCCTTTGCTTTGGGATTGTAGGCCCCCTCTGCCAGGACAACCGACCAGGCCTGGCACAAGAACTTCCCGTGGGGGTGCACGCCAAGCTCCTCGCACTTCTCGACGCGCTCGGGGGTCCAGAGGAGAGCCCCGACGCACTCGTCCGCGACCGCGCCGTAGAAGCCACTCTGGCGGATCAGCGCGTCGAGATGTCGCTGCCGCTGGTCGCGTTTGATGCCCGCCCCAGGCTCGAACGAGACTAAGAGGACCCCTTCGCGCCTTTCCCTGGCAGCTGCGACCCAATCCGGCAGGGCAGCGTCCGCGCGCAGGACGAGAGAAGCAAAAGCCAAGTTCACGCGCGCCTTTGTCTGCCCCTTCTGCACCTGGTCTGCCTCGTCGTACAGCAGCGGTTCAAGGCTTGGAACGGCTCGGGCCGCGCTTTTCCTCTGGGAAGTGCGGGCGGCCTTCCCCGCTGACAAGAGGCGGGGCCTCTTCGTCGGCGTTCGCGCCTTGGTGGACAGGAAGCGCCGGCGATCGCGCCTTGGTGGTCAGGCCGATAGGCTGCGTCTCGCGGGCCCCCGCTGCTGCGGGGGGGCTGTCGCGCCCGTGCGCTCGCAAGTCCCACAGTTTGTCCGCTGCGGTAAGACCCTGCCGTTTTTGCGAATTGTTCGTGCCGGGAGATCTCGGTCTCGGGTCCTCGGCGCGGGCGGCGTTCTGTCCAGGCTGGATTGCCACTGTGGCGGCGGCTGGCTCCACGCATGCCCCCGCCGCTGCGGAGGCCGCCTGCGGAGCCCGCGCTGGCGCCGACGCCTTGCTCTGCGTCGTGTTGAGCGCCGCCGTTTTGACTACGAGGGCGTCGGCGGCGACCGTCAACTTCCGCGCCTGCGCGACGTCGCCCTTGTCCATCATTTTCTGAGCAACCGCCAGGCTCCGCGAAACGGTTTCCTGGGCAGCGCTCATCGACGAGAGGAACGCCCCAACGTCCGTTGCAGCCCCAACCCCCGCTGCTGCGGAGGCCGGTGCTGAACCTGCCAGTCCCTGCGGAACTGCTTCGGGGGCCTCCTCTGGCAGCCCCCGCTGCTGCGGAGGCTTCAGCAGAGGCTCCTGCGCGGTTCCAGTCGCGCCTTGCTGCTCCATGCCCCGGGCCGCCCCCGTCGCGGAGGCGGGCGGGCGCGGAGGGAGGCAGGCCTGCAACGGCTCGCGGATTCACTTTATCGCATTGCCATCCCTCCCTGCGCTCAAATGGCTTTTCCCCTTGCGCCAGTCTGCTGCTCCCACTTCTGAACTACCTCATCCCTTCTACCTCCCCCTCCACCCTCCTCTTCCTGTTCAATCCTCCCTCCTCCCTCCACCGTGCTCATTTCTCCTTACTCCCTTCTCTGCTCCTCCTACGTGGGGCGTTTCACGACAACGACGACGACGACGATGACCACGACGGCGACAACGAGGACGACGACGACCACGACGACGACGACGACGAGGACGATGACCACGACGGCGACCAGCGACGACGACTAGCGACGACGACGACCGACGACGACGACGCCGACCACGACGACGACGGCGACGACGACAACGAGCGACGACGACGACGACGACGACGACAATCGACGACGACGAGGAGGAACGACGACGACGAACGAGGACTACGATTACGACGACGAGATGACGAAGGTTCGAAGATCGAACCTCGAAGTGCGAAGCTTCGAAGTTCAAACTTCGGACTTCGAACTCCGAACTTCAAACTTCGAACTGCGAACTTCGATGGGGTGCCAGGGACGCAATGGGATGGAGGGAAAATGGGAAGGAGAGAGCGAGGAAGCGGGAGAGGAAGTTGGAGGAGAACGAACAGGCGTGGAGCGACGAGGAACGGGCGGCGAGGAGCCGACGTCGAGGGCGGCGGGATGGGGGGACAGGGAGGAGAGGGGCGACTTCAGAACGAAGATCGCGCAACGGCGCCTGCACGCGCGCCCCCGATCTCGCAGGCCGACGCGCGCGCCCCTGCCGAAATGCAACGCACCCTTCATTCGAGCCCCGCTGCTGCAGAGCCACCTAATCCACAACCAAATCGTCTGGGGAGCTGTTCGGTCCCCAAACTACTGGTTTGCCAGCCGCTGCTGCGGGCGCCGAGGGCCCGGCGCTGGACGCCGAGGCCCCGCTGCTGCGGGGCCCGGACCCTGAAGCCCCGGTGCTGGGCGCCGCGGCCCCGCTGCTGCGGGGCCCCTGAGAAGGCGTCGGCCCCCCCTTCTCTCTGGCGGCGTCGAACTTGAACTTGCGCTCCACACCGAGGTCCTTGTGCCAGCGATGTGTTCCTGACCCGTCGCTCCCGCCCAAACCCGCGGCTGGTGGCCTCGCCGTGCCCGCGCGGGGCATGAGGGCAGAGCTTCGACCTTCCTGTCGCCCCAGTGCGGGTGTAAGCGGACGCCTGTCCCGTCGTCGCGGTGCAACACGAAATCCCACATCGGCAGCTTCACTTTCACCCGCTGCCCCGCGAACTGTCGCGCGCACAATACTCTGGCGCATGTGGTCGTAGCTGTTTGGCCGGACTTCGAGGGAACAGCCGATCAGAGCCCCGCTGCTGCGGGGCCCCCCCACGACCTCCCTGGCATCTTCCCCCCTGAGCGTCGCCACCATCTCTTGCCACCGCCAAGGGACTTCCTCGTCGCTTCTGAAACCAAAGCTCGTTCTCGCGCCGTGGTCGCAAACAGCGACCATGGTGGGCTCCGCATTGTCAAACCACTTGGCTTCTGACTCGAACGGGGCAGTTGGGTCTTCTTCCACGTTGCGCCACCATTTCAACGCTTGGTTGTGTTGCTTAAACGAAGCGCCGAGCCTCTCTTCATAACTCAAAAAATAGTTGACATCAAACTTCTCAAAATCCTGGGGCCCGCGCCCCGCCGCCGCTGCGGTGGCGCGGGGCTCCTGCGCCGCAGGCGCGGCTCGGGATCCCGACCCCTCTCCTGGAACTCTGTCCCCAGGTTCTGGTGAGTTTCGGAGGGCAGCCCTCGCGAAATTATCGAATTCGGGCATGCCGAGACCAGGGGCGCGGGAGCTCACGACGCCAAGCGCGGCGAAGCGAGACGGCCGTTGAGGCGCGACCGCCGCCGCTGCTGCGGCGGCAGGGCCATCGCGCCATTTGGCGTCCTCCTTTGGCGTGTTCCCGTCTTGTCGCCACTCTCTCCGACCCCGCGCTGACCAATCATGGCCGTCCTCCCAGCCGCGCCAGCCGCTGCTGCGGCTGGCCCACCATCCTTCCGCGCCACCCCATGTGTATCCGCCTGCATCGCCCATTGCAAGACGATGGCGCAGGCGCGCGTTAGGCCGCGAGCGGCCCGGCTGCACCGTTGCTCGCGGGCGATCCCACGGGCGCGGGATGGTTTGAGCATAGCGGCGAAGGACGACGCGATGTGATTGGACGGCAGAGAGGTTGAAAGGAAGGGGGGGTGGAAACGGAAGAACGAAGTGGACGAAGAGCGGAAGTCGAACCAGAGGGGGGAGAAAAGGGCGGAAGAGAATGAGGACATGCAGACGAAGGAGAGTGACGAGGTAGATGGCGGGGCAGAACGGCAACGGAGGATAATGTGGTGGAAATTGAAAAGGACGCATGGAAAAAAACACGACGAGGATCACAGACGCAAAGATGATGAGCGCAGTGGTAACATGAAATATCCGAAATCAAGAAGCAAGATGAGGAGGAACGGGATGACGAGCAACTCTGTCACAGAGGGCCTCCAAACGCACCCCCTCTGTCACAGAGGGGCAACATGATCACTTTAATGCGGCTGTTGGACTAGCCGGCCGCTCTGCGGTTGATCGGGAGTTTCTGTATATAGAAGAAGGTGCGTGCGCTTGTTGGCGAGAGTGATGAGGTTCCTCCTCCTCCTCCTCCTCCTCCTCCTCATTCCTCCTCCTCCTCCTCCTCCTCCTCCTCCTCCTCCTCCATCCTTCTCTTGCCTCCGTCTGTCCTCCTCCACCCCGCAGCTCCATCATCTTCTCCTCCTCCTCCTCCTCCTCCTCCTCCTCCTCCTCCTCCTCCTCCTCCTCCTCCTCCTCCTCCTCCTCCTCCTCCTCCTCCTCCTCCTCATTCCTCCTCTGGGCACCTCCCCCGGGGCGCGGATCCACCGGATCTGTCCGGATCTGTCCGGAAACGGTGCCGGAGGCCGCTCTGGGCTCCTCTGGGCACCTCCCCCGGGGCCGGTTTTGTGAGGATGTCTCAAGCGAGGGCGCCGGTTTGGGATTCGTCACCGGATCCAGCGGATCCACCGGATCTGTCCAAACGGTGCCGGAGGCCGCTCTGGGCTCCTCTGGGCACCTCCCCCGGGGCCGGTTTTGTGAGGATGTCTCAAGCGAGGGCGCCGGTTTGGGATTCGGATCCAGCGGATCTCTGTCCGGAAACGGTGCCGGAGGCCGCTCTGGGCTCCTCTGGGCACCTCCCCCGGGGCCGGTTTTGTGAGGATGTCTCAAGCGAGGGCGCCGGTTTGGGATTCGTCACCGGATCCAGCGGATCCAGCGGATCGGATCTGTCCGGAAACGGTGCCGGAGGCCGCTCTGGGCTCCTCTGGGCACCTCCCCCGGGGCCGGTTTTGTGAGGATGTCTCAAGCGAGGGCGCCGGTTTGGGATTCGTCGGCGGATCCACCGGATCCACCGGATCTGTCCGGAAACGGTGCCGGAGGCCGCTCTGGGCTCCTCTGGGCACCTCCCCCGGGGCCGGTTTTGTGAGGATGTCTCAAGCGAGGGCGCCGGTTTGGGATTCGTCACCGGATCCAGCGGATCCAGCGGATCTGTCCGGAAACGGTGCCGGAGGCCGCTCTGGGCTCCTCTGGGCACCTCCCCCGGGGCCGGTTTTGTGAGGATGTCTCAAGCGAGGGCGCCGGTTTGGGATTCGTCACCAGATCCAGCGGATCCAGCGGATCCAGCGGATCTGTCCGGAAACGGTGCCGGAGGCCGCTCTGGGCTCCTCTGGGCACCTATCTGGTCGATTGCCCAAGGATGTGCGCGCAAGGTGGAGCGACCAGCTCTTGAAAGTAAAGGAATGCATCAAATTCACTGGGCTGACAGCAAGCGGACGCCACCTGCAAGCCAGCATTGCAGCCTGACGCGCCTTGGCGCGAACGGCACACATACTGAGGCGCCGACCAATTCCCTTTCTGAACATTCGAACGCCAACAAGAAACTCCGCCACCCTGTCGCAGGCACGTTGGGGCCATGTGAGAGCGCTTGTTGGCTTTCGGGAAATGTTTCTGCTCTTCTCTGGGAGCGACGCCCCCCTGCCGCGCGCATCTGCACAAAATCGCGCCTTCTGCACTTTGCTCCACGGCTCCACGGCGCCCTGAGCCAGAGACCGCCTCAAAACGGCCGCAAGACGCCCCAAGCCCGTCCAAAGATGGCCCAGCGGACTCTCTTGGCCCTCTTGAAATCCCGTTGGGATTTCTTGGGGCCCTCTTGGGCGGACTCCGGAACCTCCGGGGCCGTTTTGTGGCGGAGCGAAACAAACGATTGTCTCCCCAGCAAGCAGATGTAATCCGAGGTTGGGGAAGAGATCGAGTTGAACAAGAGACCCCCCGCCAAGAAATCGTTTTCTGTTTCGTGTCGTGCGTGTGGGCGAGGCGAAGCTGCGTGCGCCGTGCTTAGGCAAAACCGAACAACATTTTGCTGCGCCCCCCAGTTGGCCAGTGGTTGCCCGGGGGTGTCCCGCGGTGTCCCGTGGTGTGACAGGATCCGAGGTTGGGAAAGAGATCGAAGTGAACAGGAGCCCCCCCGCCAGCAAGTCGTTTTTGGTTGGTTTCGTGCTCGTGCCGCTTACCGCAAAACCGAGCCAACTTTTGCTGTGCCCCACGGTTGGCCAACAAGGGACCAGGGTTGTCCCGCGGTGTCCCGCGGGGTCCCTCCCGGTTGGCCGGCGGTGGCCTGCGGCCGTCCCGCGGTGTCCCGCGGTGTCCCGTCGTGTCTGGTGCTATGCAATGCTGTGCTGTGCTGTGCTGTGCTATGCCATGTTGTACAATGCTACGTTATGCTATCAATTCGATGCTAAGCTATGCGGTGTGATGCGATGCGATGCGATGCTATGCTATGCTACGCCATACTGTGCCATGCGATGGTGTGCTATCATATGCGATGCGATGCGATGCTATGGCATGCTAGGCGATGCTATGCTATGCTATGCTACGCGATGCTCGTCTATGCTGTGATGTGCGATGCTATGCTCTGCTGTGCGATGCAATGCTATGCTGTAGCTCCAGTTGATCCCCCTTCCTCCCCCCACCACCACACACACAACCTCCTTTATCACCAGAAGGGTGGTCGTACATGTAGGGATGCACTGGCAGGATCTCGCGGCCAGAGACGCAACCGCCTCGCGCACACTTGCCTGGAGCGGGGAGGGATGGGGAGGAATGGGAACGATCAGGGAGGAGCAGGGCGGGGTGCGGAGTGAGGTGTCTTGTGGGCCTCTTGGACTGTCTGAGAGCGCTCTGGGATCCACAGGCGCCTACGGAGGTCGTCTTGGAGGGCTCTGTAGGACGTCTTGGGGCGATCCTGGGAGCTTCTTGGGCCGTCTCGGAGGCCTTGTTGGGATGTCTTGCGGCGCTCTCTGGATTCTCTGAGGCCGTTGTGGACGCTAATATTTTTTACGCATCTGCCAGACATAGACGCTTCCATTGGGAATTAGGGCGATGTGTGTTCCTTGCGGCCCTCATATGTACCTCTTGGGTGCCTCTTGGGGGGGCGTCTGAGGGTCCTGAAGCCGTCATTGGCCGTCTTGGCTGCGTGGAGGCCGACTTGAGGCCACCTGCGGCCAGATTGAGGCAATCCGAAGCCTCCCGCGAGCCTCCTGGAAGCAGTTTTGACGCATCGAGGGCACTCTTGGGGTATTTTAAAGCCTCTTGGACGTCTCCTAGGGGCCTTTTGGGCCCTCGGGAAGCTTTTCGGGTCCTCTTGCGGCCTCATGTGGGCCTTTTGGGGGAACGCTCTGTTGGGTCGCGTTCCCCTTCTTGGACCTCTCTTGGGGCTCTTGGGGCCCTCTCGGGCCGTCCTGGGCGCCTCAAGCACCGTCTTGGGGCCCTCGCGGGCCGTCTTGGGGCCCTCTTGGAGGCCTCTTCCTCTATATTGGAGCGGTATTGGAAGCCTCTTGGGCCGTCTTGGAGCATCGGGATGCCAAAAGGCAGAAAAAATTAAAACCCGTCAAAGCCCAATCGTAAAACAATGAGTTGTGCCTCTTGGGGCCACCTTGGGAGATCTCTTGGAACCTCGTCGGCCCTCTTGGGAGCTTCTTGGGGGCCTCTTGGATCCGATTGGGGGCCTCTTGGGACTTCCCGAGAACCTCTCGGGGTAGAAAGCTCGGATTCTCAGTTCGTGTTTCCCTTCTTGGGCTTCTCTTGGGGCCGTCTTGGGGCCCTCTCGGGCCTTCTTGGGCGCCTCAGGCACCGCCTTGGGGCCCTCGTGGGCCGCCCAGGGCCCTCTTGGAAGCCTCTTCGGCTATCTTGGAGCTGTCTTGGAGGCCTCTTCCTCCTCCTCGTCCCCCTCCTCCTCCTCCTCCTCCTCCTCCTCCTCCTCCTCCTCCTCCTCCTCCTCCTCCTCCTCCTCCCACTCCAGCTCTCTCTCCTCCTGATCTTCCTCCTCCTCCTGCAGCGTGTTCCGGAAGGCTCCCGCCGGAACATGCTGTGCACAAGTGCTGTCACTGCTCCCGCCACAGTGCCCTGGGTGGTGGGTCAGAGGCCTCATCGTCGACTCGGAGTCGACGATGAGTTCTGTCTGTGTGTGCTTTCCCCTCCTGACCTTGGGCCCTCACAGGCGGCCCGGCAGCGCCTACCCCAGGTCTGCGGGGGCTCTCGGCGTGGGCCACATGGGCGCTTTGCGGGGGGTTCTCTTGGGCCGCCTGCGAGCGTCTGCGGGCGCTCTTGGGGGCCTCCGGGCGCCTCATCGCAGCCTCCTGGGGGACAGCGGAGGCGCACCGCTCACCCTGACCCACGCCACAGGACGTGCCCCCCCAGCCCCCCGCCCGGTGAAGCGTCCTCGGGGCCTCGCTGGGGCCTCTGGGAGGCCTCTTTTCTTCCTCTCGACGGCGGACGCAACTCTGCGAGGCCACCCCTAAGAGAGCGCGACCCGTCGGGCGATGGTGAAACTGCGACGGATGCTGCACGTGGGAACCGATGGTCAAGGACAAACTGCAGCATCATCACAGCTGTATCGGATTCCTCGTCTTCTGAAATCGTCCTGCACCAATTTTAATGCGCAGGGACTGTACCCAGCGTAGTTGCATACAGGACTTTGAAAGATATCTTGTCGCATCTTCGTGCCCATCTCGAAATCGTCAGAATGAACATTGTTCCAACCGTATCCAATTTGCAACAGTATTCGCCGTCCAAATTTTGTCAATATCTCACCGGCGCCGGTGGTGTTCGCCTCTTCGGCGAAGACATGATCATCTGTGCTCAGCGGGCCCTGACCCCCGTGGGTTATTCTCTGGTCAAATATGATAATGTCGCCCTTTGCTGGATGCAAGAAACTGATGTTGCGCTTTTCTTTGGGGATCACCGGAACAGTATGACTACTTCTGACTACTCGCAAAGCAGAATGATCCCGAGGTTGCGAATGGTCCTCCAAATACAAGCCGACTTTAACCACCCGCATTGTCTCTCCATTTACGATATCCCAGGGGGAATGCTTCTCATAGCCTCTGTAAATACCACTCAGTCGGTCTTTGTGCCACGTTGATTTCACGTTTACGCCGATATCATTGTGAGAAAGGAATCTGTACTGCCCTGGCCCATTGCCCATGACATCTCCAAAAATTCGCGCGAGCACCGCATGCAACTTTGCACAGGTGTGCACGGCCTCAAAAATACCAGAAAGGAATGGATCTTTCATGAAATCAGGAATGACAGCACCTTGGGCAAAAGGATGTGACAATTTCCCGTGGTTTCTGACATAACTTTGTATCTTGACCGCCCAGTCATCAATCATTGACGGGGGGAATGCTTCGCGCACATAAACAAAACCGTGCTTGTGATAATGCTCTGAATCATCGGTATCCGGAACAATAGGAGCGGTTGGCACAAAGGATGCCGCAAGCTCATCATGCACTTGTGCTGGTCCTGGCGCAGGATTCACTGTAGTCGGTGGCGCCGGTGCAGCTTCTGGGCTAATGGGAGAGCGCACGTGTGTACTGTTCTTATGCCTGTACACTGCCACATACGCAGAATAGTTCAGCTGCTCTGTGTAGACCACGGCCAGAGCGAGGACCGTCACAGTTGCGACGGACAGCAGCGCGCATGTGTAGCGGCTGCCTACCCCTGTGCCACTTCTCGACGCTCCGACCATTGTGCTGCGATCGCAGCTCAGGTTCGAGCCCAGCTGCTTGAGCCCAAATGGCTACGGATTTCTCTGGGAGGTCTCCCTGAGTGCCCTTGGGGGCCTCTTGGCGCCTCTGGGGGTCGTGTTGGGGCCGAGGGCGCTTTCCCTTGCTGGTTCTTGTTCGAGACTTGGAGCGGCTTTGGGCCCTCGTGGGGCGCTCTGGGACCGCCCGCGGGGCCCCTTTTTGGGGGGCCTCCGAACCCGTCTTGGGCAACTCCTGGGTCATCCTCGGGGCTTTCTTGCGTCCATCTTGAAGCCTCAAGAGCTTTTCGGGAGTGAATCGGCGAGAAAGCAACAACCACTGGCTTCCCCTAAGCATTCGAACGGGTATTGGCCTCGTGGAATCCCGCTTGGGGCGCCTCGGAGCCATCTTGGGCAGACGTGAAAGCTATCTTGGCGTGTCTTGCCGGGTCCTGCCTCAGTTTGACAAGCCTCGCCTTGTCTTTGATTGACTTCTCTTGTCGAGTCCTGTCACCTTGGGCCGTCCCGGCGGCGTCTTGGAAGGAGGCCCACGCTGGTCGCACGGCCAGGGGTCGACTGGAGGGGCTCGCCCGCCTTGCTAGGGGAAGCCCCTCTCCGCGGGCTGGGCAGGGGGAAGCCGCGAGGTGTGAGATGCCCTTGTGGCCCCGAGGTGGCTCTAGACAAGGGCTCCCAACTTCGCGCTTCGCGCTGCGCGAAGCGCGAAGTGCGAATAACTTCGCGCTCTCGCGCCGCCTCCCAGGGGAGAAGAGGAGGATGAGGAGGAATCGGAGCCGAATCGCGAAGCACGAAGCGCGAATAACTTCGCGCAATCGAGGGCGCCCTTGCTAAATGGCCCTAGGTGAGCTCCAACACGGCAAGGGATGGCCCACGATTGCTCCACAGATGGCTTCCAGCACGCAGCCGAGCTCTCCCGAGACGGCCCCGAGCGGCGACGGAGCCTCCCTGGGATACGCCGGAGATGCCAGACTGCGTAGAGCATCCAAGGCTGTCCGCTGTGTCGTTGCTTTGTCACCTTTTCGCTTCCGACTGGGATCCGAAGCCTCAAGCTAGGGCTCCCGACTTCGCGCTTCGCGCTCCGCGAGGCGCGAATTGCTTCGCGCTCTCGAGCCGCCCCCCCAAAGGGAGAAAAGGAGGAGGAGGAGGAGGAGGGGGAGGAAGGAGCGAGGACCGCGAAGCGCGAATAACTTCGCGCCCTCGTGGGAGCCCTTGCTAGATGGCCCTGGGTGAGCTCCAACACGGCAAGGGATAGCCCACGATTGCTCAACGGATGGCTTCCAGCACGCAGCCGAGCTCTCCCGAGACGGCCCCGAGCGGCGACGGAGCCTCCCTGGGATACACCGGGGATGCCAGACTGCGTGAAGCATCCAAGGCTGTCCGCTGTGTCGCTGCCTCGTCGCCTTTTCGCTTCCGACTGGGATCCGCGGCCTCAAGATCTGGGGCTCCCAACTTCGCGATCTCGTCCCCCGCGAGGCGCGAATTGACTTTGCGCTCTCGCGCCGCCCCCCCAAAGGGAGGAAAAGGAGGACGAGGAGGAGGGGGAAGAAGGAGCGAGGACCGCGGAGCGCGAACAACGTCGCGCCCTCGTGAGAGCCCTGGTCAAGATGGCCCTAGGTGAGCTCCAACACGGCAAGGGATGGCCCACGATTGCTCCACGATGGGCGCGAACAACGTCGCGCCCTCGTGGGAGCCCTGGTCGAGATGGCCCCGAGATCGTCCCAGTGCGGCCCCCGAGTGGGATCCGCGGGCGGCCCCCCGGGGCGCCACCGCGGGGGCCTTCGGGGGCGGTCCTTCGGGCCGCCGACCCGATTGCGGGCCCCCCCCTCTCTCGCACAGACCAAGCCACCGAGGCACCGAAACTGCTGGAGGATGCTGCCCCAATGGGGGGGACCCTTTCGCCCTCCTCCTCCTCCTCCTCCTCCTCCTCCTCCTCCTCCTCCTCCTCCTCCTCCCCCTCCCCCTCCCCCTCCCCCTCCTCGCCCTCCCCTCCTCGGTTCGCCTACGGCCCCGGGGGAGACCGTCCACATGGAGGAGCACCTCAGATAATCTTGCGAATAAGTACACGCATGATATCGAAGCATGCAGGGGGAATGCACGTCCGAGCGATAAGCTTGTGTGCCGCGATGCCTTCACACAGTCTCCGAGCTGGCGAACGACAATCCAGGTTGGTCCAGACAGCATCCAGCATGCCTCCAAGAGACCCAAAGACAGCTCCAAGTGGCCTCGGAGTCTCCCACGGAGGCCCCCGAGAGGAGGAGGCGGAGGAGGAGGAGGACGAGGAGAAGGAGGAGGAGGAGGCTAAACTTATTGAATAGCATGACATATTTCTATGAGTGTATGTGATTATCCCTTCTCGCCTTTTCTCTTCGGATGGGCTCTTCAAGCCTCAAGATGGCCCCACGATTGCCCAAGGGAGCCTCAAGAGGGGAACATCAAGGCTGCGAAACAGCCCCAAGAATTCAAGAACACCCGAGAGCCCCAAGAGTGGGGGCTGTAACATGGGATCCCCCCCCTGTTTGATCGAGGGCCTCTACGACGGCTCCAAGAGGATCCCAAGGCCCCCTAAATGGCCCCAGAAGGCTCCGACAACTTTGAACTTTCTATAATAAGGCACCAAGATGGTTCCAACAATGCGTTAAAACAACTCTCAGGAGGCACGATCCGAGAAGATTTTTATCGCAGACTCCTGCCGTTGTCGATGTTGCTGCATCTCTTTTCCTTTCCCGTTCTTGTCCTCCTCCTTTCCTCCTCCCCCTCCTCCTTCTCCTCCTCCCCTTCCTTATTATCCTCCTCTTCTTCTTTTTGTTATTGTAATGCATAATATTATCAGTACTAGTATTGTTAGTATTACGTTGGGATGCGACGTGTCCCATCAACTTGACATTACTTCTTTACTTCTGCTCGCCCTCCTCCTCCTTCTCCTTCTCTGACTACCTACCAAACCACCCCAACCCAACCCGAAGACCCGAATTTGACCTGAATTTCGGGTTGGGGGGGGTACGGGTTCCATGTGTTTTTTCGACGTTCCCCGACCCCCCCCCACTGGAAATGGAGGGCAAATTGAGGCCTTCGGGTTGGGTTGGGGTGGTCTGGTAGGTGGTGATTCTCTAGCGGCATCCCGAACAAAACCCCGGAAAAGGTCCGGTTGAGGCCTTGCTCTGAGAGCAATCGCCGTCTACGCAGCATTTTGCACGCACGCTGCGATCCGCCACCGCGCGCTGCAAGGCGGCGCGCCGGACCTTTTCCGGGGTTGTGTTCGGGATGCCACCAGCGAGCATGCGCAGTCGTGTTGCCTGGTGCGCCTGGCTTTTGAGCGCGCCCAGTGGGGTCGTATAGATGGAGCTCGCTACGGGGACACGAAGCGTGTGTGTGTGTGTGTGTGTGTGTGTGCGTGTGTGGCTGTGCCGGAATGGGCGCGGGGCCTCATGCGCGCTGGCGCCCACTGGGGCCGAAAGTGGATTACACTACGAGGCACGAGGCGTGTGAGGAGTGTGCCGAAATGGGTCGGGGGCGTCGTGTGCGCGGGCCCACCGGGGCCGTAGGTGGAGCTCCTGTCAGAGCCCCGAATCATCAGGGGTAACTCGGGTCAGGGCTAACTCGGGTTCCTTTTCCGGGAATCCAAACCCGAGTTACCCCGGACCCGAGTTACCCCGGATAACTCGGGCGTCCAGAGCCCCGAATCATCAAGGATAACTCGGGTCAAGGCTAACTCGGGTTCCTTTTCCGGGAATCCAAACCCGAGTTACCCCGGACCCGAGTTACCCCGGATAACTCGGGCGCCCAAGACGGGGGAGGCCCCGAGGGGCACAAGGGCGAGCACACACACACACACACCACGCGCTTCGTGCTCCCAGAACGGAGCTCCAGCTGAGGCCCCAGCTGGAGCTCCGTTCTGGGAGCACGAAGCGCGTGGTGTGTGTGTGTGTGTGCTCGCCCTTGTGCCCCTCGGGGCCTCCCCCGTCTTGGGCGCCCGAGTTATCCGGGGTAACTCGGGTCCGGGGTAACTCGGGTTTGGATTCCCGGAAAAGGAACCCGAGTTAGCCCTGACCCGAGTTACCCCTGATGATTCGGGGCTCTGAGTGTGTGTGTGTGTGTGTGTCTGTGCTCGCCCTTGTGCCCCTCGGGGCCTCCCCCGTCGCTGCTGCTTGCTGATGGATCGACGCCAGCTGTCCACACTGCAACAACACACTGCTCTGGATCCACGGTGGCAGTCGTTGCCGTTTTCGCCTCCTTGGAGGCTGCAAGGGTCGCCGTGCGGCGTTTTTCCCGGATGGCTGCTCCACGTCCGATGCTTTACCATTGCGTGTGTGTCTGTGTCTGACTCGACTCGACACGCGCCCTGCGCCAATCGGGCCGGCCCCAACCACGGGGAGGGCGGCACACTGTACTGCGCGCAGGCAGGCGGGCCCGGCCGCGGCGGTGAGGAAGCACGCAACGAAGAAAAGGCTCAGAATTGAATGCGTGGTGAAACGATCTCGGCTACTGACTACCTACCAGACCACCCCAACCCAACCCGAAGGCCCGAATTTCGGGTTGGGGGGGTAAGGGTTTCATACGTGTTTTTTCTATGTTCCGCGACCCCCCCACACTGGAAATGGAGGGCAAATCTGAGCCTTCGGGTTGGGTTGGGGTGGTTTGGTGGGTGGTGAGCTACACGCAAGAGTGACCCTGGGTAAGAGTGACCTTTGGTGCAAAAACAAGCGCGCAAGCAGCTGCTACCGCTTCGTTTCCAGCCATCTGAGGGCCCCTCTGTGCCCGCACCAAAGGTCACTCCGGCGAAAAGTCACTCTTACGTCTAGTCGATTCATCGGGGATCTTCTGACCCGAGTCAATCCAGGCCCGGGTCACCCGGGTCAATCCAGGCCCGGGTCAGCAGGAAACCAAAAAACTGCAATGCAGGAGAAAGGAACTGAAACGAAGGTCTTTGCAAACCCCGGGTCAGCCAACGTGCGCGGCCGCCTCGCGGCCACGAGCGGCTCCCTGACCCGGGTCAGCCAGAGGGGGTCTTCGCAGGATCCTGCAGGATTCGGTGCCCTGGTTG